CCTGGGCAGCAGCAGTGGCAGAGATTGCTACCTGCTGAGCCGGCTGGTTGGGGAGCAGGGCCACGTCACTGGGATAGACATGACCGAGGGCCAGGTACAGCGCAGAGCTGGAGCTTCCTCTCGTCCCCCCACCATCCCCCCACCATCCCCCCACCATCGTTTCCTTCCTCCTCCCAGGTCGACGTGGCGAAAAAACACATTGCCTACCACATGGACAGATTCGGCTACCGAAAGCCGAACATGGAGTTCCACCAGGGCTACATGGAGAAGATGGGTGACATTGGTCTGGCTGATGAGAGCTACGATATTGTCCTGTAGGTACCGCGCAGGGCACTGCCACCACTGGTCTTGCTGCTGCCCGGCGCAATGGGCTGGGGTCCTGGGTCTTCATCCCACCAGGTCACCTGCTTCAGGAGCACATGTTAGGAAGGGAAAATCTCAAGGCAGAGTATGGGCTAGAGCCTGGGAATGTAGAAACTGCCCTTCTCGTGGTCAAATTGGCATCTCCAAATCCTGTGTGAAGCGATGGGATGTACAGCAGCTGGTGAACGTGCAGCAGCTGGTGGTGCTGAGCATGTGAGAGGTTGCAAATGAGCCTCAGTCTCCTCCCCAGCTCCAACTGTGTGATCAACCTTGCCCCTGACAAGAGGGCCGTGTTGCGGGACGCGTACTGCGTGCTGAAGGTAATGCTGGGGACAGCGCCCGTGGGGGGAGCAGAGTGGGGTTGGGGTGGTCCTGCTGTTGGGGTGCCACTGGGATGCAGCAAATCAGATCCGGCAAGGTGGGGCTACAGGATAGAGCCAGAGGAGGGCACGTCTGCAGAGGGCCTGGAGCAGAGTAGTGCTGGGGGATGCCCAGTTCTCCCTGTCCCTTTTGTCCTGTTGCTTCTTGGAATCTCCCTTCACTCCTCTCTGCCTTCCAGCCCGGTGGAGAGATGTGCTTCAGTGATGTCTACCCCAGCCAGTGCCTGAGCAAGGCTGTTTGGAAGCACAGGGTGCTGTGGGACGCGTAGGGCTCCAGGATGGGGGATGGCATGGGGTGGGAGGACTAGATCTTTTGCCTCCATCACCAGTGTCTGTGATCTCATGCTAGGGGAGTGCCTGGCAGGAGCCCTGTACTGGAGAGACTTGTACAGCATCGCCGAGGAGGTGGGCTTCAGCTCCCCATGCCTGGTCACAGCCAGCCCCATCACCATTGGTGACAAAGAGCTGGAGGGCATCGTCGGTGAGGGTCTGACAAGGAACCGTTGCCTCTGGGCATCTGTGAGGAGCTGCGTTGGGAGCCCAGGCTCTGCCAGCTCCCAGCCTGGTTGTTCGGTGCCCAACCCATCAACCTCTCCTTTGCAAGCAACTGTCGCTTCGTCTCTGTGACTTTCCGCCTGTTCAAGGTGCCGGGGAGCAGCCGGGCCACGCCAGGACAGGTCTTCTACAACGGTGGGATTGCAGGGCATGAACGAGAGCTGGTGTTTGATGCCAGCTTCACCTTCAAGGTGCAGGGTGGGGCTCCCAAGGATACCAAGCAGTCCTGGTCTGTAGGGCGGGGGCTGGGGCAGAGCTGAGGAAGCAGTGCTGCTCAGCAACATCCTCTGTGATTTTGGGAGTAAGCTTTGGTAGGGAGGGTGGTGGGTGGGAACAGAAGGGCTTTATAAACCAAAGGAGGCACAAACAGGGGTGGGAAAGGGAGCCAGATCCATTCATCGCATTGGGGTGGAGGTGCAAGCAGGACATCCATGGTAGCTTCACAAGGGGGTTTGGAGCCAGCTGCTTGGTCCCTGTGGGTCTTTCTCAAGGTTTTGGGCCTGGCTATTCCCTCCTTTCATCCCCCTCATCATCTGGCTGGGTGGCTGATGTCCCCTGGACAGCATATCCTGGGCCCCAGCCCTATGACCATCCCTCTGCCCCCAGGAAGGAGAGGTGGTGGACATGGATGCCAAGATGGCTGCGATCTTGCAGAGCTCCAGGTTTGCAGAGAAGTTCCCAATCTGACCTGGTGGGGCCAATGCTGCTGCACCACAGGGCTGCTGTTGCATGGGCATGAAGGTTGGTAGCAGGCAGCTCTGCTGCTGGGTTCAGGGATGGGCATGTGTGTCCTGTGCTATGAGAGGTGCCCTGGGATACCAGAGGGACTGTGACATGACACCAAGAGACCTGTGTCCTTCTGGGCCAGGCAGGAGCCTATGGGGCACCGAGGGTGGTGTCCAGTACCTAAGTTTGGGCAACTGCATCCCAGTGCAGGTCGGAGGCCTCCAAAGTGGGGGTTTTCTCTAACCACCAGGCATGAGAACCCCTTGTCCCTGGCACACATCCATGGGAGCTGCCGAGGCTGATGGCTGGGCTTGCCTGATGTCTCCCAAGAGGAGACATCCTTCTGGGTAGATGGCTGGGGCCAGCCTGCCCCAGGGATGTGATGGCCCATCCCCACAGCTCTTTCCTGCCCATCGCTCTCCCAGCTGTTGGTGTGAGCTTGGCCCTGGCTGCCAGCCCTGACCCCACAGCACGAAGCAACTCTCTGCTGGAAGCCTCCTCCCCTCTGTAGTCCTCCCAGCCTGCAGATGGGCCAGGAGAGGCTGGGTAGCGGGGATCATCAGAACATGAGGGAGATAATGCCCTGCAGCTGTGTGTCCCTGAAACACAACCTTGTGCTTGGGGAGGGGGGTATGTTCTTGGGTCCCTATCCAAGCAGGAGGCATTTCTTAGATAAAGGCAGAGCCAAAGTCCCAGAGAAGCTCTCGGCGCCATCCTTGCAGCAGGGAAAAGCAGCTGGAGTGACCCCAGGACTGCCCCCACGCTGGCTACGGGGAGGTCTGCTTGGGCTGTCCTGCTGACAGGGATCAAGTTGGGGAAAATGCCACTTCCCTGGCATGTCTCTTGCTTCCCTCTGGCCTGATCCTGCCCTGGGTTATTCTCTGCCCTTCAGGAGAAGATCTGTGATCCCTTCCAGCTGCTGGAGTGGCTGGCGGCCCCGAGTCCTGCCTGCTGTCCCGGTGGCAGCTGTGGTCCCCTGGGCTGCTGCTGAGCAGCGAGTGATGTCCCCATGCTGGTGGATGCCAGCGGGGCAGGAGGATGTGGTCCAGCGGTGTGTGGCTTCCACCAGAGAGCAAATAAATGGCTGAGCTTGAAGGCTGTGTGCTTGCAGCCAGGACGCATGGGGCCTGTGGGGTCCTGTTCTTCCCTCTTGGGGCTGGTGGGGCAGGTTGTGCCCTGTTGTGAGGATGGGCAGCCGTCCTGTGGGTCCCCTCGCAATGGGGCTGGCAGTGGCCACATGGCTCGGACATGTGGGCAGGGATGGTCCCTGTGGGAAGGGGGTTGTGGGTCCCCACGGGTGGGTTTGGCAGAAGCTGTGTGCTGATGTTGAGGCAATGGAGCAGAGCGGAGACGTTTGCAGAAGGCAGCTTGGCACAGCGAGGTGTGAAAGGAGGCCCCGGCGCTGTGCAGGGCCTGACCCTGCTGCATGCACCCCTGTGTGTGAGTCCGGCTCCAATCTGAGGTCTCTGGGAGCCCACAGCCCAGATGGAAATGCTTCTGAGAAGCAAAAGGCGCAGCGATAAGTGTCGCAGTTGCTTTTTTCTTTTGTTGGGTCTCCCCATGCTAACCCTGCCCACACAGGGAGCCACAAGCATCCGCCAGGCAAAGTCTGTGCAAGCTCCTGGCCATGGGCTGAGCAGCTCAACAAGGCAGCTGCAAACGAGCGTCTCTCCAGGGCAGTGGGCAAGAAGGACTGGTCACCTCCTGGGGGCTTGGCCAGCCCTGCTTTTCCTTGAAGAACTCAACATGGTGCATCGAGTGCAGAGGGATGTCCCCATTATTTGCATTTAGGACAGGGGATGCCCCACACCTTGTCTGCTTGCAGCCCCACAGCCTGTTCCAGAGACAGGAATTTCTCTCCCTTTCCTTGTGCAGTGCTCCTGAGGTTTCTGTTTTCCCCTGGACTCCATCTAGCGGGAAAGCCCGAGTCCCCTGCAAGCATCTCACCGGCAGAGTTTTGCAGGGAAATGCAGTGGTTCTGGAAATCCATAAACCTGGCTGGCCACATCCCACAGCGGGCAAGGAATGAGGAACAAGGACTTCGAGGCTGTGGTGGGAGGAGATGGTCCGATCTCCTGCCACCCGATACAAAAGCATATTTGCTTTGTATGAACAACTTAGGGTGCTCAGCAGAGATACCAACACCCAGAGCTTCATGGGGACAGCCTCCTGAGCCTGCAGATTGATAACTCGTAACTGGGAGAAAAGTTGGAATTTGGAAGTGTTAAGAGAGATGGGGGTGTTTGAGGACTTCCTATGATGCATTCCAAAAACATGTCGGATTTCAGCGCACGTACGAGTTTGCACTAGGGAAAAAAGCCAGTCTAGATCCAAGAAGACGGTAAAGAAGTGGTACAAAGGAAAATAAATAAAATCAATTCATAGAGAATCATGGCACAGTGTAGATAAAGAGCAATGACAAAATATATGAGTTCAAAAAGGAACCTGGGCAAGTGCCAAGGATGCTCTCAGTAGCAGAGGCTGAGAAGGGTCCAGGTGGTAAGGAGGTGTTTCCAGAATATCTGGAATGAAAAGTGTGAGTGGTCAGGTAACGTCCAGCTGCCGCACAGAGAAGGGAAATCCAGAAACAGACATGAAATGTTGAGACGTTCAACAGGTTGTCTTGCTCTCTCTTGGAAATGAAGCTGCAGAATTCCTCATCTTGGGTGACATGGCTAGAAAAGACAGTTTGCCATCTGTCTCAAGGGTGATATGAGATGGTTTCCGCTTACAGAAGAAGCTTTCAAATCCCTGGTAAATGTGACTCCCAGCAAGAGCTGTACCAGCACCATGAGCCCTCATCGGGCCCCTGGTACTAACTCCTGACAAAATTTAGACTGTTATAAAATATGAGGATTGTAAAAATAATTCCGAGATATAGAAAGGATTTCCTAAGTGCCCCAGACTGCTTAACCTGCTTCCTGCCATCAGCAAAATAGGAGAGCGATTAATTCACAATCTAGGGATTAAACATATAAATAATGCCCATAAATATGGTTTCCTGGAAAGTTACTTTACCTGCCTGTGCTTTTGGCTTTGGACAAGACTGCAAGTCTGACCTATTTGGTGTACAAAAATTTGCAAGTTGTTGGGTTTAGAGCTATACCATGAATAAAAAACCAAAAAATCCTTGGTGTTACCTGGAGTAAAGAGGACACGTAGTAGCTGGATTCAGGTAGGTCCCTGGCAGACTGACCTCAGGGGTGGCTGTGACCTGGCAGGTGAAAGGAGCTTTGAAATGTGTGTAAGGACCTCACCGATGGGATCTTGGGAGGACCTGCTGAAAACCAAGATGCTGTTTAATCCCCCCACCACTTAGCCCTCTTCCACAACTACTTACAAAGAGTTTCACAGAAACTCCCCAAACAGCCCATCCTGGGAGGTTTGTGGCAATTAGCTCCTGGTATCAAAGAGAGCCTTCCCAGTGTGAACGGAAGAGCAGATGGGGCAGGGGGTCCTACCTGCAAACCCCTTCATTAAGAAGGCATGAGTCCCTGCCGCGGCTTTTCAGCTTGCCTGGGGAGAGAGGCGACCACAGCGAGATCTCCCCTCCCGCATGCATACACAAAAAGGCCACAGCTAAATGCCACTGCATTTGCATAGCACTATTTTTTTCCAAACTCTCAGAATTTTGAGGAAGAAGCAGCTGAGAGGACTTTTCCTTCTTCTTGACTTTGATTTTGAGCATTGGGGTAGGTGTCCTCACCAGGATATGTACATGGGGGTGTCTTGTTTGCCTGGCTTTGCTTGTGCACACACAGCCTTGGGGTTTTCAGCCCCCAAGCCGTGCAAAGAGGAGGTCCTGCGTGATGAACCCCAAAACAATCTGTCTGACACCCGGTCTGGGTGTTTTTGTGATCATAGAGATGGGCTAAATTCCCTTCTCCCAGTGTGAAGCTCTGCAGCATCAGTGTCCTGCCTGTGTGGGCAGTGAGGGTGCTGTGAGGGCAGGGCAAGCCGTAAGACTTGATTCACTGTGGGGTACAGGGGAGGTGATCCCCGAGTCGCCGTGGTTAGCAGGGAGTCACTGTGGCTCAGGGGCATCTGTCCCCTTCCTGGGGGAGCAGACCTGCAGAACTGCTCCAGGATAAAACAAATGAGGTTTGAGACCAGGAAAAATTCATGACTATGACCCCAGAGCAGTGTGCTCTGCTCCCCACTGCATTGTGTTGTCCTGCACGATCCTCTACTTTCCTGTTGTCCAAGCACTTAAATGGAGGGGAGGCTGTTTTACCTCCTCCAGAGGGTCACTCTGAACCCAAAATGTGGTCCCAGCTTCCACAAGTCATACTGTATGTTCCCACGGCTGTCTGTCTTCATCTGGCTGGGATCCTGTAAGGTGTCCTGTGCTGTATGTTGCTCATCACAGATGGAGAGTGGAGTGATGACGGCTGAGCCATGGGGCGTTTATTGCCCCAGCTGGGATTTTGGCACAGCAGCTGAGGCCTCGGAAAGAGCTCAGCTTTTGGAGCAGTGGGCCATAAGCACACACTTAAATTACAGGTCTTCTCCTAAATCGGGGCCCATCAGCCCTTCACGCGTCGGTGCACTAAACGAGCTGAGCGGAGCGGAGCTCCTGGGGAGGCTTTGAGCATCCTCGGCGGGAGCTCCAAAGCCCCGACTCCCTCACACCGAGTCTCGGCATGGGGTTTGTCTAATTTGGTGAGGCGGGAGGCGTCCCGGGCAGCTGAGCAAAAGGTGGAGATGAGAGAGCGGAGCTCGGCTCGTCCATATTTAATATTGTTTAATATTTAATGTGTAACTTCACTCGCAGGAACGACAAAGCCAAGGAAATGCCGGGGGTGCAGGTTGCCCGGCGGGGCGGAGGGTGCCCGGAGAGACGAGGTGCCCTGGCGCCGGAGTGCGACGGCTGAGTCTTTAATCGTTAC